TACCCTGTTTTTCATGCTTCTAAGCTTGCACCATTCAAAGAAACTGACCAGTTCCCTTCTCGTCGCTCTATGCTGCCGCCAACCATGGATGGAGACTGTCTCTTATACACATCTAGATGTGTATAAGAGACAGCAAGAAGACACTGCCTCCCAACTGGAAGGCGAAAGGCCGCATTATGTTAGTCGACAATGATGGTTCTACCATCGAGCTGGACGACGGCTTCCAGGCGGGAGTAGGTTCAGAGGCTGGCAGCATAGAGGTTTCAGGGGGTGGAGTAGTCGCTGCCGTAGCTAAAAAAGGTAAGGCGACCGGTAGACGTCGTGGAGGTTCCCGGTCGAGGAGTCAAGTTGACCCCGATGCTCCTCCATGGGAGAAAGCGGGTCTCACCGAGGACGTGTGGAGAGATCGGTACACACGGCAAGCCTGTATCCGTTGTGGCCAATATGGCCATAACCAATTGAAGTGCCGAAACAAGAAGGTGACCGAGAAGATCCCGCCTACGATGGGGTAGGCGTTGGGATCCTCCACTCCCGTTGGTAGCAATGTGGCTAGCACTTCTGGCACTGCTCCGGGAAACACGTCGGGCCAATAAGAATAGTAGTTGTTCCTGCTAGGGTCGAGGTGGTGGATACACCCTCACCATCTCGAGAGATGGCCCAAGCTACTGACTCCATCGTCGTTCCGCAAACACGTTCAGACCCATCGACCCTCTGTTCGATGAATGTGTTTGAGTCCCTAAAGGAGTGGTCTAGATCAACCCACTAGCTTCTTGGATGACATTGGTCAAAGCCCCTAAGGGTGAGATGTTCGCCAGCGAGGTGGTCATTGGCAGCCGCAAGGCCGGGGCCTGTTATGACACTTGCTCGACACGGAACTTCATTAGTCGCGCGTGCGCTGAGAGGCTGCGCTTACAGGGGCAGGTGCAGCGCCTGAGTCGACCTGTGGAGTCGACCTGTGCCAACAAACAGTGCATGGTAGTTAACGACTACCTCCAGGATGTTGAGTGTTGTTTCCCGTACGCAGGAGGGGAATTGAGACATCGTGTCTCGTTCCTAGTGAGCGATGAACTCCCCATGGATATGTTGTTAGGTATGTACTACCTCTCTGTGGCACAGCCCCAGTTTGACTGGGACCGAAAAGTGGTTAAACACACTTTGCCAGATGGGGGGACCGCCAGATTACGTAAGTTTAAAGCTAGTACTCTGATTGAGTCCCACGGATGCATGTGTGCAACCGCGTTCTATAATTACTATAAGCAAAATAAGGAGGAGAGTATGTATCTAGTTTATGTCTCTGCTGCAGGCGAGCCGGTGAAAATGCTGCCAGAGATAGAGGGAGTAGTTGCTAAATACCCTGATCTATTTGAAGAGCCGACAAGGGTTGTTGAGAGGGAGGTCGTCCATGCGATAAAGATTATCCCAAGGTCTAGCATCTCGAAGGGTAGGATCTATCAAATGTCTCCGGGCAAGCTAGACGAGCTTCGCCGGCAACTCAAGGAACTCGTAGAAAAGGGTTGGATACGGCCGAGTGTTTCTCCTTATGAGTCTCCAGCCCCCAAGAAGAAGGAAGGAACACTTAGGATGTGCATTGACTATAGGGGCCTCAATACCATCACTGTCAAGAACAGAGAGCCCCTACCGCGCATCGATGACTTGTTAGATAGAGTGCAAGGGTGTCGGTACTTCAGTAAGATAGATCTGAAGTCCGGGTACCATCAGATTGCAATCCGACCTGAGGATCAACACAAAACCGCATTTCAGACCAGGTACGGTCTGTACGAGTTTGTGGTGATGACTTTTGGCCTTTGCAATGCTCCTGGAACCTTTCAGCACGCTATGAATTGGATATTTCATGACTACTTGGATAAGTTTGTCATCGTGTACCTCGATGACATACTTATTTTTAGTAAGACTGTTGAGGAGCATGTGGCTCATTTGGACAAAGTCCTCAGTCTCCTTAGACTGCACAAGTTCAAGATTAACAGTGAGAAGTGCGAGTTTGGCCGCACCCGTGTCTTGTACTTGGGTCATGAGATTTCCGCGGAGGGCCATGTCCTCAGTCTGTGACTGAGATGAGGTCTTTCTTAGGGATGATAGGCTACTATCGTAACTTTGTGAAGAACTATAGCATAGTCGCCGCCCCTTTGACTGACCTGACTCGCCTTGACACCCCATGGGAGTGGACAGACAGGTGCGAGGCTGCCTTCAGACATCTGAAGCATGCATTGACGCATCATGAGGTCTTGAAACTTCCTGACCCTGACAAGCCTTTCGTAGTGACTACGGATGCTAGCCAATATGGCATAGGCGTCGTACTTGCGCAGCAGGAGGGGAAGAAGTTGAGGTCGGTAGAGTACACGTCCAAAAAGATGCCCTCTCAGAAGTTAGCTAAGTCCACCTATGAGAAGGAACTCTATGCGATCTTCAAGGCGCTCACACATTGAAGACACTATCTCCTTGGGAGGTTCTTCAACATCAGGACTGATCACCAGACCCTGAAGTGGATGAGAACCCAGCCTGTGCTCTCTGACGCTCTAAAGCGCTGGATTGAAGTCATAGAGCAGTATGACTTTGAGCCCCACTATATCAAGGGCGAGTACAACAAGGTTGCTGATGCGCTGTCGCGTAGACCAGATTTCTCTGGTGCGCTGATTACTGAGTTTGGGCTTGCGGACGATGTTACTCAATCTATGGTGGAGGCCTATCGCGAGAACCGATTTATGTCTGAGATCATATGCAAACTCGAGGTGAAGGACAAAGCAACTTCTGCCGAGTTTGAGTTGGTCAACGGAGTGCTGTTCCTTGAGAAGGCAGGGAATAGACGTCTGTGAGTGCCAGATAGGGAGTCTTTCCGTAGTTTATTTTTAGGCGAGTGTCATGATGCCACGAGACATTTTGGTTTCAAAAAGACTGCAGCCACCCACGATGATGAAAGATGTGAAGCTGTATGTGGAAACTTGTCAGGTCTGTCAGAGGGACAAGCCACGTACGCAGGCTCCTCTTGGGCTTTTAAAACCCCTTCCGATTCCGGAAAGGCCTGGTCAAAGCCTGACTATGGACTTCATGGATACGTTGTTCACCAGCAAGAGCGGGATGAGACACATCTTTGTTATCGTGGATAGGTTTAGTAAGTACGCTAGGTTAGTCGCAATGTCGGAGACAGCGAAGACTGAGCATGTGATTAAGTTGTTCAAAGAGAACTGGGTTAGAGATTTTGGATTGCCAAAGTCTATAGTCAGTGACCGTGATGTGCGATTCACAAGTGAACTGTGGAAAGCCGCAGCTGCAGAACAAGGAACGCAGCTGCAGATGACATCAGGAAACCATCCCGAGGCGAATGGACAAGCAGAATAGTTGAACCGCGTTGTACAACACCTGCTGAGGCATTACATCAAGCCAAATCAGGTAGACTGGGATGAGAAACTTGCTCTCATTGCCAGCCTATACAACAACGTGGTCCATAGCGCAACGGGTGCGAGCCTGAATAGTCTGCTATTAACCTTTAGGCCTAGACTGCCCTTGGATTTCCTACTACCTGAGAACCAGCCCTCTGCTGCACCAGGGACTTCAGAGTTTGCTTATCGATATGAGCAGCTGATGCAGCAGGCTGTTGAACAGATGCACAAGGCACAGGCGGCGATGATAGAGTCTGAGAACAAACACCGCCGCCCGTCCACGTTTCAGGTAGGAGAGAGAGTCTGGGTCAAGTCCTCAGAACTGGGACAGGAGCACAGGATCTCCCGCAAGCTCATGCCACAGTATTTTGGACCATGGGAGATTCTGGATGTTGTCGGGGAAGAACCAGATGGGTCGTCTTATGGTATTCGCATCCCTGGTCACTTACGTACGTACCCTGTTTTTCATGCTTCTAAGCTTGCACCATTCAAAGAAACTGACCAGTTCCCTTCTCGTCGCTCTATGCTGCCGCCAACCATGGATGGAGA